TGTTAGAAGCAACAATGCTAAGCTAACGTTCTAAGAAATGTGTCGGCCAGTGAACCTGACGACCAGACCTAGTAACCTTTTTAGGCGTGGCGGAGTCGGAGGGCTCAGGAGGCGGGTTTTTGGTTGGGTTGACTCATCGGCGGACGAAGAACTGGAGTCGTCGTTCGACTCTGCTTCGACGTAAGCAACTTTGAGGCGGTCGATTGAGACGGTTTCGCTCTTGCCGTTGCGTTCGATGACGAAGAAGCGCTCCTGACATTGTAGGACCTTGAATGGACCTACGTAAGGTTGTTTGAGTGGTCTGCGTAGACCATCAATGCGAATGAAGACAGACGGGCAGTGGTGAATATCTTTGGGAACGTAAGACTTGCGTTGCTGTTCCCGTACTGCGGTCGATTTCTTGCGGCTTACGTTCGTGGCTAGCTGCCGAGCGTAGTGCGCGTCGTAACGAGGGGTGTTCGGGCTTTCAGAGAAGAAGTCGCCCGGTAATCTGAGTGGTTGTCCATAGACCAGTTCGGTGCTGGACGTTTCGCGATCGGCTTTCAGTGCTGATCGAATTCCGAGTATTACCATTGGCAGAACTTCTGTCCAACTAAGTGCATTGGCGGCACATAGCGAGGCTTTAAGCTGTTGGTGTAAGCGCTCAACCATTCCGTTTGCTTGAAGATGGTAGGCAGTTGTCCGGATGCGTTTACATCCGAGGACTTTGAGTAGGTCGTTGAAAGTCGACGATTCGAATTGTGGACCACGGTCGGTAATCACAGTGGCTGGACAGCCATGTGAAGCGACCTAGCGCTCGACGAATGCGTGCGTTATCGTCACAGCGGATACATCAGGAATTGGAACAGCTTCAGGCCAACGAGTGGCGTGATCCACAATAGTCAGAATGTATCCCATGCCTTTGGACGGCGGAAGTGGCCCAACGATGTCGAGGTGGACGTGAGCGAATCGAGTTGACAGTTACGGGAAACGTCCTATTGGAGCAGCAACATGTCGATGAAATTTTGATCGCTGGCAAGTCAGACAGTTCCGTGCCCAAAGTCTGACGTCGCGCTGCAAGTTGGACCAGACGTACCTATCAGCAGTCATATTGACTGAAGCGCGGATACCAGGATGCGCGATGTTGTGCAGTTTATCAAAGACTTTTCGGCAAAAGGCAGTTGGTACTAGTGGAAGTGGATGTCCGTTACAGACGTCTCAGTTTGTTGTGTCTGTAGGCGAAGGAAGCGGTCTAGGTACCAACTTTAACGTGGACTCTTCACAGGATGACACTAAGTCTTTTTCGGCTTGCTGAGCAACGGCCATAGCTGACAGATCGAGCGCCTGATCGGTCGGAGCCAGAGAGTTTACTCTTGAAAGCGTGTTTGCCACGACGTTATCCTTGTCAGACACGTGTTGGATGTCCGACGAAACCTGAGATACGAAATCTAGATGACGAACTTCACGCTTAGAGTGTCGGGGCGAAAGGTTCCGAAAGACGTAGACGAGTGGTTTGTGATCTGTAAAGATCGTACAATGATTACCTTCGAGAACGTGACGAAAATGGCGAACGGCGAGTACACGGCGAGTAACTCGCGGCCAAATGTGCTGTATTTTGACTCGGCTGTCTGAAGACGTCGGGAGAAGAACGCTAGTAGTTGCCAATTACCTTGGGAAATCTGCTGTAGAACATCGCCGATTGCGTTTTCCGAGGCGTCAATGGCTACGCTGATTGAAGCGTTCGAGTCGAAGTGATAAAGCATGACGGCGGAAGCGAGTGCCTCTTTGTTAGCTTCAAATGCTTTTCGTTCTTCAGGCGTAAGATCAATTTCACTGTTGTTGCCTCCACGCAGAAGATCGGTGAGCGGTTGCATAAGCTCGGCGCAGCGTGGCAGGAATCGGTGATAGTAGTTGACCATGCCGTTGAAGCGTCGAAGGGCGGCTAGAGCCGTTGGATGAGAAAAGTCGCGAACTGCGTTGATTCTGTCCTGCAAAGGGCGGATACCCTCAGAAACAAGTTGGTGTCCGAGGAAGTACCACGGCATGAAAATGCACTTGTCGGGTTGGCGGTGACGTTGTGTGCCTTGAGGCGTTCGAACAAGTGTCGGAGATGTTCGGTGTTCCTCTTCCGAAGAACTGGCCACCAGAATGTCGTCGATATACAAGTGGACGAAGTGGAGTCTACGTACGACGGAATCGATGAAGCGTTTAAATGTCTACGCGGCGTTGCGCAGACCGAATGGCATTCGTAGAAACTCGAATAGTCCAACTGGTGTAATAACGGCGGTGTTCGGTATGTCCTCGTCGGCGACCGGGATCTGATGATAAGCTCGCACCAGATCGACCTTTGGGAACACACGAGCGCCATGAAGACCGGCTGTAATATCCTTTATGTGAAGAATAGGATAACGATCCGGAATCGTCACGTTGTTGAGGGCGCGGTAATCGCCACCTGGTCGCCAGTCTGCTGACCTTTTCTGAACCATGTGAAGAGGCGAAGACCAAGGGCTGCTGGATGGTCGGGTGATCCCAAGTTCGATCATCGCTCGAATTCCGCACGAGCGGTTTTGAGCTTGTCCTGAATCAGTCTTCGGGCTTTGGCGGAGACCGGCGGACCCTTTGTAACTATGTGATGCGGCGTAGCTGCGGCTGCAGTTGACAAACACGAAGGTCGGAAGCCTTCACGGAAACTCTCAAGTAGCGCTTTGCCGGCCGGCGACTTGGCAGTGGCGTACACCGGACTGAGCGATATTCTAGCGACGGAAGTTTCGTTATCTGATCGATGAGACGAGTCAAGTCGAAGTGCTGAAGCAGATCCCCCCGATAATGGGCTTTTGGATGTCAGCCACAGGGAATACCCATCGAAAAGAGCGTCGCCGGTCGAGGTTAAGCGTGCGCGAGCGCTGATCCTAGACACGGATACTGGTGCCGTTGGCTGCGCGTAGAGAACCGGTCACCTTTCTGGTTGCGTCGTTGGGATCACGTGGAAGGACGCTGACTTCTGCGCCAGTGTCCACGAGATAGCGGACTCCCGTTTGTCGATCGGTGACGAAGAATAGGCGACTGTGTTGACCAGCTACGTCCGTCGCCCCTACGTGCTGGTCGGCCCGGTTCCCTGCGCGTTGCGTTTGAAGGAACACGGTGGGCGGCACGACGTGGCCTGTGGGCCAAATCGCTGATGGTACCAGCAGTAGGAAGACATTCGGCCCGGTGATTTTGATGGAGATGCATGTTGACGATTTGAAGATCGACATCGGCAGCTACTCCCAGAAGTTGTGAAATCGGTAAACGTCTTGGTGAGTGCGGCATGTTGCGCTTTCACTTCAGAAACATCGTTTTCGTCGTAGACCGAACTTGCGAAATCTGGCTGTAGGATTCCCAAATTCAGTCTGCGATATCGACCATCAGCATCAGGGATGCGCCAGCATTTGCGTAGAGGATATTGCACATTTCATGTGGCAATCTACGCAACCACGTTTCATTGAGAAATGTGTCGTCCACCATGTCGGGTTTGACTAAACTTTACATCTTTCGCAGGAGCTGCGATGGCTTGAGGTCACCCAAATCCGTTTTGCTCAGAAGCTTCGTGATAAGTTGACGATCTGAAAGACCTGTCATTTTGAAAACCGCTGCTTTAATTTCCTCGTAAGTTTTCCTCTGCTGGCAACTCGAGGATATCGTCGATATCATCGGCGACGTGCGGAGGAAGCGCGGAGACGACGTGGAGATATCTGATTCTTTCAGGTCTGATGCCACGAAAAGTGCCTAACTGAGCAAACCAATGAAAGGGCGGAGTGGCGATGGTTACATTTTTTAACCTGGCCGTCGAGAACTGGTGACACATCCATAGCAGAAAAAATGATATAAAGTAAGCGATATAGAACCCGAAATATGCACAAACAATGAAAATGGCTGGACGTACCGCAGAACTGAACGAACCTGGAGGGAACAATTAGTAAGTGACTTACCAAATTTTCGGTCGGAGTCACCAGTTATGGCGGAATCGTTGGGTCGTTGTATGTCAGTTTCGTCCCGCCTCAAGGAAAAGTCGAAAAAAGACGGATATATGGGCGGGATAGACGTTTATTTTCGAAACGCACAATCCCGCTAGCTGAAGGCACCGTAAAAATGGTTGTAACCAGGGGAAAGGCATTGTCGCCAGCCGAGACGCAGGAAACGCTCTTCGAGGTGGAATAGCCAGGAGTGCGCGAACGCGATTCTTCTGGATGACTCAAACACACCTAGTCATCGTGCGAACACGCAAGGTTCCTATGTTGTCTATGTACAGAATGATATTATATTTTAATAATATTTTACACAGACAAACAGGACAATCTCCAGGTCACTACACACCAACAATGCATGAGTTCGAACACCTACTTGACGCCCTTGGCCTACAGTTCTTAACTTTCCCCTTCACATCTCAGCTTATTCGCCTTACTGAATTATTAAATCTATTATTTTTTGCTTCTTAACGCTCTCATTACTTTCGTACTTGTCACTTGTTTCTCGTGACCGGTGCGGCGGGGACTGCCAATGCAGGTCGCGTGGGTATTAATTGGTTGACCGTGGTGTGATTCGCGCGTGCTGCTCTGACTCTTCTAGATTCCAGTTTTTGCGGATGACGTGCCACAGAAGGAACCTTCACGGGAATTTAATCTACTGTTCCATTCCCACTTGAACTTGATAAGTTTCCCGGTCTCCTACGCAGACTCGAACCTGCGCCGTCAGAATACGAGGCAGGCTTGTGATCCATTAGGCCACGGGCCGGCCATGGCAACTGGACCCATAGCACTTCGATGCTCTAGTCGTAGTTGATTCACCCGCTTCCACCGTGTTGTTTCTGCAATTTGTCACCGTGGTTTGTTCACCCATTCTCACTTTTCGTTTGCACCTCTGGGCTCGTTCAGCCTTGCAGTCCTTATTTTTCGGGCAAGATATTAAACGATGTTGTTACTTATAAGCGTAGTTTGTTCCTTTACTTTTGCCCATTTCACATCGTTTGTTAATTCACTATTTCAGCCTAAACCAGTTATCTCAATGGCCTCTGAAATTAACGCTTCTGAACTGAAGCGCCTACTTGTGAGTTTAACTTTCCGTTCCCATTTTTCGTGGATGTTATTTTTCCAAACATATTCATCAAACCTAAATCCATATCACATTCATTCATCACAATCTGTGTAATTGCGGGTGATTTCCCAATATCCCTAACCCCCGCACGCGATGGTTGGCGGTCCTGTGGCATCCAAGCAAGTATTGTTCATTTAACCCAACCAATTTCTAGCATTTATTTCAACTGTGTCACGATCATCATTATTTCTAACCAGCACTGTCCCCGGGCATACCGAACGCTAAAGTACGTTCGGCAAGTAGTCAGCGGTGGACCTATATAGATCACATCCGCATCATATTCTCACTATAATTAGCTGCTTATAACCGTTTGGTTCTCTAAAATTGTACGTACCTTAATCCTGATTATCTCAGACCAGTGGTGCACCTCAAGGTACGGTACTGGGACCCACTCTGTTTCTCATCCACAACGAGCTGCCCCAGCTTCTACGGTCGCCGTGTGCACTGTTTGCGGATGACCTCAAAATTTGGCGAGAAATTGATACTCTCGATGACTGTAACATTCTCCAACAAGATTTCGACCGCCTCGCAGTATGGTCTGCTGAAGTCCACCTACCGTTCAACCCGGCAAAGTCCCTATTCATGAATCTCTGGAAGGCTGCTCACGACCTAACGTACACCCTAGACGGCCAACCACTGCATCCCACACCTTCCGTGAAAGACCTAGGTGTACTCTCACGCTGCGACTTGAAGTCCGTCGACAACACCAACAAACCGTATCGAAACGGACTGCGCATGCTCTGGGCGCTGAAGCGTAGCTTCTGCACTTGGTCTGAGGACATCGCCACTCGCCTCTTCTCTTCCATCGTCAGACCAATGCTAGAGTACGGCTCGCCTGCATACTGTCCGATCACTCGCGGCGAAGCGCAAAAGATCGAACGAGTACAACACGTCGCCACCAAGTTGATCCCCAGCTTGAGAGGCTTATCGTATGAAAACTGATGCATGAAACTTGGGCTCTAAACCTTGTCGTATCGCCGTGTTCAAGTGAATCTTATCATGACCTACCGTATTTTACATCTCGGTCATTTCCCCATGCTGACGTCGTTACTCCACTTGCGAGTACCATGCACCACACGTGGGCACAGGTACAAACTCGTGGTACCTGATCTGAAGAAAATCCCACACCCCCTGTGTTTCGAGCGGAGGGTTGTGCACGCCTGGAACAGTCTGCCAGAACACGTCGTCGAGGCCGAATCTGTGCAGAAATTCAAATCTTTGTTGGATTTACACTTCGCTAACATACGTTTCAGAGAACGGTTGCCACTTGACAACGATATCACCCACTTGTGACTCACTGTGTGAACAAGCATTTTGTGTGCTACGGAAGGAGTTGCTGAACCATCTCAGGATAACCACTGGACGTGTTTATTTATTTTTTTAAATGTTTTTGATTATCACCCGAGGGAGTTGTACAGAATTATTTTCTACTTGATCCAAAATACAGTATTCAGTATTGACCTACCCGATTCTGTTCCGTTCTTTCCAGCACTGATGTGCTATTACTACTATTGACCCCGCTGTTGCGGTTTTCGTTTTTGCCGTTTTGGTTGTTGTCGATGATGATGGTGATGGATGATAATTATCATTGGATTGTAGAGGCAGAAGGAAAATCCTTTGTTAGCTCCATCGCTTCCCGATCATTGTGTTGAGGTCGCGATACTTTGCAAGGCGGTATTCCACAAGGGACCGTAACAGCTGCAATGGAACCTGCAAGGACCCGTCGTACTCAGGAGGTAAGAATCCAACATTCTCTTGAAACCTTCCTCGGTCTGGGCATCGACCACAGTCAGGTTGATAGAACGAGAGCAAAACAAACCTGGAGCCTTCTGGGTTTAAGGTTTCCAGTTGTGACCTCATCTTGAACTGTTAGCACTGACTTGAATGAACGCCTGCAGCTCCATCCTCATCTCTCTTCTCAGGATTCGTCTGGTGAAAATCAAGTCACCCCGACATCGATGATAATCCAAGGAGAACTGGTTCATCCGCTTAAGTCTCGGGATAAGGCAAGTCCCGTAACTCCCAGATGTTATTCCATTCCCGCCGTTGGATCTTCTCAACTACTCCGCATTCGAACTTGCTGAGAGGGAACACGGCAAGTAATCCGTATTTGAGACTGGGGCACACATGAGAAGTAAACAAGAGTGAAGATATTCGGAGTCAAACGCGAGGAGCCTTTTCTTGTGGCATGAGACATCCTGTTGGCAACGGCAACCTTTCATAATATGTCCTGCGTAGACCGTAGATCAGATGACACCAACACGCCGTCTTTAACATAGATTGAGGTCCTGAGCAACGCCCCACCAATAAGATACGTCCCGAAAGGCTCAAGAACACTAATGGGGAGGACCGAACATTTATCGCGATTTATGGGCCATCACCATTTGATTGACCACTCATGTAACGTATCAGTTGTCGCCTGTAATCTGTCCACATCATCAAGACAGGATACCTCCATCCACAGTTTCAAGTCGTTAGCGTAAATCAAGTAGTCCGACTAAGGTTCCGATAGGTCATTGATGATCTTGAAAAGTTATAGGCTAGGGACTGATCCCTGCAGGACACCGCTAGTCATGAGCACAGGAGCGGAGTAAGTCTCGTTCACGTTGACTCACATGGTCTGGTCACCCAAGAAATCTGCGATCAAAGAGAGAACCTTCACAGAAACACCGATTCCTCGTAGTTTATAGAGGAGCCATTCATGAGAAACCTTGTCAAACGCCCTGCTGAAGTCGACAGAAACAACATCCAGGCGTTTCCCAGCATTTAATGATTTCGCCCATCTTTCCAGGGCTACGAGCAGATTCGAGGAACATTAGTGTGCCCTCCGAAAACCATGCTGCGCACAAGTGATGACGTTTAGGCTCTAGAGATAGAGTTGAATTGTCCACTTGAGAATCCTCTCCACTACCTTACACAATATTGCCGTTAAGCAGATGGGTCGATAATTGGCAGGATTTTGACGATCCCCTACTTTGTGTATAGGCTTAACAAGCCAAGCAATCGAGAGCCGTCCAACTTCGAGAGAATAGCGAAATACCCGGTAAACAGGAACGGCAGTGTACTCGGCCACAGTCTTGAGGAAAGGCAGGTGCAACCCATCAGGACCCGGCGAGGAGTTCGGATCTAATTCACGAATGCAACGACATCAGCGCTCATCTCTATGTGCTCCAACGGAGAGAGGTGGATTGGCGCCGCGTCACTGGGTAACGGCGTCTCCATTGAGTAAACAAATGAATATTGCAGGGCTAGGCGACTGGCTTTCACGCCGTCATCCTCCAGTTAACCGCTATGCGCCAAGGAATACATGGCAGGACTGCCACTGCCTGCTCTGGCACTTCTCTTCAGGTGAGAGAAGTGTGTCTTGGGTGTCATCTTGGATTGCACAGCCAAACCGAGTTCGTACCTATGCCAGTTCTCGTTTTTACAATATGTACGTATTCCTGGCCACTTTGTAGTCCGAATAGTCAGACCCGGAGTGCGTGAGCTTTAATCGATCCCACAATTTCCGTCTTGTTCATTAGCCCCCTCAGTTGTCGATCAATCCATGGAGGACCTCTGGCAAAGGGTCCTCTTTTGTAGACAGGAACGACCTGCTCAACGAGTAAAATCATTTTGGAGTACAAGAGGTTCCACACATCGTCCATGTCCAAGAGTTCGGGCATGCTGCAGTCCACAGCACTGGCTGTCGTTTGTAGACGTTGGGGATCAGCACGCCAGAAATTTCGGTGGCAACGACCTTGGTTGTGAAGAGTGAGGCGTCGAGTCCGGAGAAATGAAACCACAGTGATCACATTTACCAATGGGCTATGTCGGTGACATCTGGTTGTGCTGGGGAGCGTACAAGGTCAACAACATAAGGTGTTCGTCCTACAGTTCTACCAGTATGCACTGTGACCTGTTGAGATAAGTTATATTTGGGAAACTTCTCTAAAAGATCGAAATTAAAAGCGTTTGAAGAGGGAACGCAATGCAGTAAGTCTCAGTCGATACCTGGGGTGTTAAAATTCCCCAGTAATAAGCAGTCCTTGCTCCCACCATGTATTTTGATCGCGTCCGGCAGACAAGCTCCGGAACCCAATGGGGCCCTGTAAACAACACCGACCATATGAGATCTGCATCCGTCATGAACAGGGCACCAGGGAGATTCGAAGTCACCATCGCTGCGACAGGTAGCTTCAACCAGACGAGCCTTGAAGTCCGTCTTCCAGCAGAGTATCACATCGCCCCCAGGTCTCCCTCCATGGCGGTCGACCCGGCAGTGGTTATATCCAATGATCTGCACCTCTGAGTTCACGAAATCCGAGGACAACCAGGTCTCCTTGAAAGCTATATGATCCGTCTGATTCACTGACGCAAGAAGCTGAGTTTCGTCTAGTTTGTTTTTGGGACTGCGCACATTGGAAGAAAGTGTGCGCATTCCGTTCTTCAACCCTAACTCCTGGGCATAACGAGGAGTGGTCTCCAGCGAGTTCTTGGCCTTTTTCGAATTGTGCTCTGTTGCTGTTACCCGGTTTGTGCTTATTGAGTACTTAGTCCGCACCAAATTGCACATATCTTTGGGTCCGTGATATTCATCCGACACAGCTTGTTCCCAGACCCTGTGAAAACATCTTTTATTTCCGTCGAAATTCTGGTTTCAACTTACGTTCCATTTCATTGTTTACTCGTCTGCTGGTTTCTTCTCCGCTTATCAAATTATTACTGCCGCAATTTGCGTCTAAATGACTTGCTTTTTGTTAGCCTTATTTTCACTTTCCATGAAGCGGCACCTCGGGGCATTTGGAGCACCACTTGACAATTGTATCTCTACTACAGAGCTATGTTGTAGCGGAACTGGATACTCATTGTACTGGGTACCTCACTTCACCGGCATGTATGTATATTAGATTTTAAGTTTATTAGGAGCCGTTCTTGAGTAGTATGTATACATCGAAAGAAACCATATGCTTCACCTTTACGTTTAAATTCTGCACTTCGTCGACAACTGCATACTGTGCTCGAGAATGTGCATGGCTACTTCACTCAGAATAGGTTAAATGAGTTTGGTTAGTCATCGGGCAAACTTTTGTTATTGCGCGCCTACAGTTAAAGTGATCGTACGCCAGGCGCTGCCCCCTGTGATTCCCCCTTGCAGGTCATAACTGTGAGGATGCCGTGGTCCACAAGGGCGTTGCTGTATCAGCTTTTACGTCAAATCTGTATCGACAGACTGACCACTTAGCCTTGTGCAGTCCACTTGGGAGTTACTAAGCAACGCCGTCATATGCCACAGGTGTGATGCTGTTACCGGCGAAACTTCACCCACTCACAGATTGGTCGTCATGATGATGAAATCGGCAAATAGCTCCTACTCCGGCATGCTAGTTTTTCAATAGCTGCGTCGCATTTTTTTAATGAAATATCAGCGTAGCTACAGCAGGAACAACTTACTTTACTCTGTGTTGATCTGATTACGTAAATCTGTTTGCGGACAAAGCGTATGTACGTGAGGCAGCCTCTGTGAAGGAATTTCGCCATATGTATCCTCTCCGTCTGATAATTTTGTGTTTGGATTTAGTTCCATTGCTGATTCTTACATTTCGATTTACTTTCCCTTGTTTGACATTTGGATCTGTGGTATAGTGGTTCAGGCTTTTGGTGCAACTTGGTTTCCGGATTTGAGTTATCAGTCCTGTCTAGGTTTGAGCACTCTGGTGTTATCTATGCTCGTAGACAACTGCTGCTTGCGGTCGCATGTTAGTAAACTCTCTGCCAGGTCCTGTTATCCCATTTATTCTGATTACCCTTTATTGCATGATCGTTCTACCAACTGGCACTTTTTTTTACTAAAACCCACTATTTCTCCCACCACCTCTAGCAGAGATTGTCCTCGTTTTATAGTATTTTTTCTATCCTGTGGTGAATGGCATTCACACTGGACCGTTCATTTTTCTTAGTTTTCATCAATCGGAACTACATGAAGCTGCATGCTACTGTTTCACAGACCTTTTCTCCAGATACGCCCCATTCCAAACCAAAGAAGCAACGGAAAATTAATAAATTGGAGCCTCGGAAACGCTGCAGGCTTGACAACACGGATGTCATAGAATCTCCTTCTGCTGCAGCAGGTATTCACTGTTTCATAGCGCCATTCATTTCCTTCGTTAAATTTCGTAGATTGTGATGTTAAGATTGGACTACCCAACGCTTCATCCGGTCCAACTTCTGACTTAGACCCCAGTAGTGATTATGAGCTCAGTGAAGTGATACGCAACCACCTAGTCCGCAAAAATGAACGGACACTGTGCGTTTCCGGGCTTCCTGCTGATGTTACCGTTGCAAAACTTCATGATCTCGCTCCTGACGTGCATGTTGTCAAACTTGCGTGGAGCTCCTTGTTTCACAAATGTACCGGTTCGGCTCTTCTAGAGTTTGAATCCACCGAATTAGTCCATCATTATCAGAAAAAACTCGACGGCCTTAAGTACCGTAATAAAATTCTCTCGGCAAGAACTGGAACATTCCTTCCAGAGGATGCTGGTACGTCCATAGACATCATGTCCACTCGATCATATTATGTTTGCAGGTCGGTACGATTGGACTCGACTTGTTCTATACGGACTGCACCACAAAACCCGTGTGGCAGAAATCGCCAGACGTTTCCCTAAAGCATTATCTATTGTTATACCCTTGAGCGCTCGTAAACGTGTGAGTAGCGCTGTACCCATACGCGCTTTCCTCACCTTTCCTTCTGCACACGACGCTCTTTCCGCTTACGATGCTAGGCTTGGATGCGTCATACGAAAGCGAAAGATTGGGATGTCTTGGTTCATAAAGAAAGATGCCCCTCAAAAAGCCCCTAGGTATGAAAGGAATTTGCTTTCTGACTACCGCCTTTCACTCAGAACTTGCCTGTTGGCTAGAGGTTTGAAAAAGTCCACTACAGAGAAGGATTTACAAGTCGTATTCCCTCAAGCTGCTTCTATAGTTTTGCGCCTGCAAACCGGTGAAGCGCTTCTGCACTATGATATGGAAGAAGATTGTTTGCTGGACAAGGATAATTCTCGTAATTTGCGTCTCTTTGGCCGCCCGTTACAGGTCATGTTTTACTTGCCGAATCGAGACAAAAGCAAGATCACTAATTCCAAAGTGTCGCGACACGTTTGTGCGGTCAACTTTGGCGACGCACGCAATGACTTGAATTTGACTCAGAAAAAGTAAGTCTGTAGGAGATGCGGATCTTTGAAAATCGTTTTTACCTACCCATTACTTTTTCGTTTAACGGTGGTGATTGCGGTCATCCTTAAGGTGTTCCTTTTCTCAATGATGATGCTTTTTTGAATATCGTCAGTGTGAATCAACCACTGCTATAACTCTCGTGATTTAGACGGATAGATTTCCGTTAGTGATTCTGCTTTACGAAGACCACCCGATCTACGAAAACAAATGACCCTACCATAGCGCTTAATGACTGCCAACACTGCTTAGTGGCTCAACAGAAAAACTTCATCCTTGGCAACATTCTACTGGCTATATTGCACCAATGTGCTGGCCTAGCTGCCCGGTAAGCCGCGTAGATTTTGCCGCTACAAAAATTGCCACATTCCACAATCTGTGTCGTCGTTGTATCGACACGTCGTCATCACCAGTGGCAGTCGCAACACGTCAATATTTTGTTTTTTTTGGTTCCAAATGACTTGTAATGATGTGCGATAAAGCTACTAGTGAATTGAACCACAAAGTACTGAACGTAAAAATTTCCGCATGTTACCAGAGCCGTATGATCCCCAACAGCTGACTACCGTGCGAGGCTGTGGTGGCCTTATAGGGACAGCTTCCTCGTAGTGGACTTTCATGTCCTGCTTCATAAACAAACCGTCTAAGTAATGGCATCGTGCACGCCTGAAACAGACATTCCGGCTAGAAGCTGACAACTTAGTACTTTTAGTGTGTATTGCGAGTCACGTTTTACATCCTCTGACCGAGCACTTAAAACGATTCGTAAACGCATTCTTGAGGGTATCTCTGCAGTCAAAGATTGACGGATCCGGGACATAAGGATTTTTGATGGAGGAGTTCATCACTAAATCACAGGGCGTGTTGCATGTGGTCTGCCACCGCTTATCGAGCATGATCTAATTTGCTGGATATAACATGGCGCAAGGCTTACTAGGGCGGAAGTTGATTTCGCAGCGGGAACTTATTTCACTGAAGACTACCCTACGCACTGTTGGTCCGTCGCGCTCTCTAGGCTCAAGTCCATGTGACCCAATTTGTGTTTTGCTCGAGACTTCACGGGACATGATTGGAATCCGACAACAGTGGCGCGTCTGACATCGTCTCTTAGTCGGGTTGCTTGTTTAAACTGTCTGATTTTGACTTATCTACTGGATGGTGGCTTAATTTCACGCGGAGCGGTGAAAGCTGCAAGGAAGCCTCGTCCATGCCCCTCAACTTCCCATCATAGCTAGCTGTTTGTAGCGGTATATTGTTGACAAGGTGTACACAGTTTGGCCGTGAATGCTTGTTTCGGGCAGTAAGGTTTTTCACTAAACCACCATTCTCTCTGTCCGATTATTGTTTATTCCATAGGCTCTTATGGTTGTACGGCAGTAAGTGTCAGTGTAAATGGCTGATGTACTGCTGTTGATGTTGATGGCAATGAGATCACCGAGTCAGCGATGTGACATTCTAAGTGGTTCACCTGTCTTACAAAAACTAGGTGACTATTGCTGGGCCAGTACATGTCGGATCGATATCGACGATCGGTTTCTTCAATTTTGCGCTTAACGCAGCCACCACTACCGCTTTCCAATGCAAGCAGTTGCAACACCTCACTTGGTGACGTCCGAATGCAGCGATTTTCCGAACTCGTCCATGTTTACATCAGCCACGGATAACGCATGTCAACGCGTGGTTTGTCGATCGATCTGGAATGTTTCCCCCCGGTTCCAGTCATTTCTTAGCTAGCCACTAATGACACTAATTCTCTCCCTGCCAATAAGGTATCAGATTTCAACACGTTGTGCTCATCACCTGAAATGGCCATTTGCAATCTAACATGGTGTATTAATTCGTCAGCAGACAATGATAAGGGAGACAAGTGAACTGAGCCACCACTGGTGTAATTTAATAGGCTACGTAGAATGCACTTGAAGCATCTATTCCACCCAGTCTGAGACGTCGGAACTGTGGATGGATTTTTGTAGCACTGCTTGCTTTGATTGGGGCACCACTAGATGGGCATCCATGACATTATGAACTGAGATTTAGCTCGGAGTGTTGGTGGGAGACAGGGGACCATGAGATGGATAAAGCTAATCCTATTAGGGACTACCAACTCCTCCGAAACTTGTATCTAATAATGCCTTCGGTTAACCAGACGTTAGGTGGAACTTTTGATCCGCTCTCAATCAAAGTAGAACGTTACGAAGAGCATTTCAACTGGCTTATCGGGAAACCATGATTTGCTTACTCACCTAATCTTACCTTGGAGATGTGATTTTTCTCCGAGGAAGCATGACAACATCTACGGACCTGGAAACCTTCCGTCGCTGATCGTTTTCGTCAATCTTTTACAAATTGCTATTACACGGCTGTGCTAGTGGCATTGTACCAATTCAAAAGGCTGTTGTGCAAGTCCAGTCTTGACAGACCGGCCTTTGAAATTACCGCTTCACGCATCTGCCTCTTTAACTCTACTTGCGGTAGCAAGTACATTGACTGAATTGTGAGAAGACTGTCAGCGAGGATTGCAGACCACGTCTCGCAAAACATGGTCGCAAATGGCGCAAAACTACCCACCACATACTTGTTACCGTGTGCCAAAACCCACTTGGAAGGTTTAAGGTAATGTACGGACATAGTAATTCTCGCCTACTTCAGTTCGCTGAGGCCTCTGCGATTTAACGCTTGAAGTCGTTTGTGCAAACAGATTTCGTTCCAGTCTCGCCCTTCCCTGGTGAGGCTAGTGATCGTTTTTCCTCTGACCGGGTCACGTGAACCCAACCGCTTTTGGCCGCTTTAACTTTCACCCATGATATCACACTTTGATATGCAACCTGTTCTTTCCACAAATTGTATGTAGACAGCTGAGGAAAATACACGAAATTACTGAATTCAGTATATTCTGTTAAAATGCTAACATTCGAAGACACGTTGGGGATAGGTTTGATCGCGTTTTTTAATCCTACACAAGGTTCGGTTATCTGTATCCTTGAAAAGAATCCGGAATGTTATCTAAAAATCATGAGCATATTTGTTTTCGCTGCTTCGAAACTGCCTACTACTATTTTGGATAAGATCGTCAGAATTCAACGTATGAGCCATTGCTTATCACACCCAATAAGGCGCAAACAACATTGGCACTACAGCAGTCAATCCAACTGACGCTTTGCTGCTGTACAACGACAATCATCCAAGTAATTAAAGAAATAGGACGGAAAGAAGCGGAACCTGGTGTAATACCTAAATGCCATATGCTGCAGACATTCAGGATCAGAGGGCTTGCACCTTGTCAACAACATACGGTCAAAACAACTGGCCATCAGGCGTAGCTACGGGGGATCGACTAGATATCTTCATTGTGGCTTTCACTGCCCCGTGTTACAATTAAACGTTATCTAGCAAATGACTCAGCATCATACATTCTCTAGACAGGCAGTCCGACTAAGAGACGATGGCAGACGCGCCACTGGTGTCGGCTGCGAGTCATATCTTGTAAACTCTCAAGCAAAGCACAAAGTGGGTCATATGGACTCTAGCCTGAGGACCAAGGCGGACCAACACTGTTCAGTTTGATCGTCAGTGGCATAATTCACCGCTGCCCTCATTAGGCCTTGCACCGTCTTGCATCCGACAGACAAGACCCTCTTCAGTAGTCGGTGACCGACCTTGTGTAGTACGGGTCCAGATTCCAAGGAGCTGACAGTTTCCCAGCCTAGTACGCACATCGTGGTTGCGGACACGCTGTTGCTATCCAACACCATCAATGCTCCGTAGATAACCCTGATCAAAGTCTACGATGCACTTCGAATCTTCAGATGGAAGAGGCAAACTCTCACTATATTAGAGTAGGACAATCCTCGCCGTGGTCTTATACATTCGACCTTTCAAACCAAGGGAGACTTTTATCTGGTGACACAGATGTCGCAGATTCAAGAAGTTGGTGCTAACTTTTACAGCCACACACCCAGTGCTGCTAATACGGCTGCATTAAGGAGCCCATGACAAAGTTGAGCTAAAATGGGAAAACGTGACAACTTTGGCGCACGCCATCTGTTCTCGGAAAGGCGTCGAGTAACTCACCTTGGACTCTGACGCGACCTATGGTGTTCTATTACAAGTCACGAAGAATGTCCACACCTTCCCGAGCAAGTATGTCGAGGAGAATGAAACGATCCACTTAGTTGAATGCACCCTTGAAATCGATGAATATAGCTGTTGTTGGTCTGCGGTAATGTGACACCTTTCTACCACCTGTCCCATAGGGAATATATGGTTTCTACAGCCCCTTCCCGGATGAAATTCAGCCTGCTCTTCTCTCATCCGGGATTCCTATCCCGCATTAATTCGATGGACGCGAATTCAAGCCTTCACTTTTGTCACTACGGGCAGCCGGAGATGTTAGCATATAACCTATAAAATTAACCATGTTCTCTTCCTAATACACTTCGGTCCAGCAGACTTTGATGTTTTGTTTCTTTTCCGGGCTGGGTTGGCAGCGCAAAGATCATGGATGAGGGCAGCGTTACAACAGTGGCAACGAACTTGTCAATCTAACCCGAAATGTCAGTTAGCTTCGAACCGTTGTAGGAAATTTTGCAACAACATGCCAAGCTCATTGAGATGTTGACGCAGAAGCTGTCGATACAGTCAAACCCAAAGTTAGGGGCGAGTGAAAGTATCTCCTGACTCAGCAGATCAGTGAATTCCATTATGTTGTGGATGCTGGCATAACATTCGCTTCCTGGTTTCAAATGTATGAAGACATGTTTTGTGTTGATTTCGCGAATGTACCGGAAGAGAAGAAAATCCGCCTGATTATCCGGAAGCTGGCACCCAGCCGGACATGAAAAGTTTACAAATTTTATCTTGCCAAAGAAGTGCACTGACTTATCCCTTGAATTTGTCTCCGTCTTGTCACAAATTTCTAGTGAGCAGACATCCTTGCCCAACATCCAGTGCAAGTGTCTCTCGATGGCCAAGAAGGAAGACG